AAAATTGTGAGTTCCAAATTTTCCCCCTCTTTCCCACCCTTCCTTGAGAATGCAAGCTATATAATATCAATTATACACATGAAGTCATACAAAATATAATTCCATATTAGCTATGTTATAGAAGAAAACACACCAAAAAAACCCCATGAAAAATAAAGTAAAAAAGTACGCTTCAATCCGCACTCAGAGTTCATCAGTTCCCTCTCTGGAGGTGGCTAGCATTTTTCATCATGGGTCTTGGATCATTGTCTTTTTTAAAAGTTTTTTTTTAAATAAACTTACTATTTTTTTTAACATTTTTTTCTTTTTAAATTTTGAATTCCAAATTCTCTTTCTCCTTCCCATCCCCTCTTTCCTACCCACTGAGAAGGCAAGCAATATAATATCAGTTAAACATGTGAAATCATGCAAAACATGTTTCTATATTAGCCATATTTCAAAAAAAGCAAGAAAAATAAAGAAAGAGAGAAAATTATACTTCACTTTGCAGAGTTCATCAGTTCTCTCTCTGGAGGTGGACAGCATTTTTTTTTTTAATGAATCCTTTGGAAATGTCTTAGATCATTGTATTGATGAGAGTAACCAAATCTTTCACAGTTGATCATCATTACAACATTGCTGTTACTGTACACAATGATCTCCCAGTTTTTCTCACTTCACTTTGCATCAGTTCATATATGAATTCATAGATGAATAGGTTTTGCCATGTTTTTCTGAAGCCACTCCCTCATCATTTCTTGTAGTACAGTAATATTCCATCACAATCATGTGCCACACCTTGTTCAGCCATTAATTGATTGAGTATCCCTTCAATTTTGGATCATTGTCTTGATCAGAGAAATTAAGTCTTTCACAGTTGATCATCCTTATAATATTGCTATAAGTGTGTACAAAATGTTCCTGGTTCTGCTCACTTTACATTGCATTGTTCATATAAGTCTTCCCAGGTTTTTCTGAAACCAATCCAGTTCATCATTTTTTATAGTACAATAGTATTACATCACAACTGTATACTACAATTTGTTCATCCATTCACCAGTTGATGGGCATACCCTCAATTTCCAATTATTTGCCACCACAAAAAGAGCTGTTATAAATATTTTTGTACACATAAGTCATTTTCCCTTTTCTTTGATGTCAGGAACTGTTTTTAGCATTTTCTTTGTATCATCAGTGCTCAGCACACTGCCTGGCATGTAGTTGGTGCTTAATAAATGCTTATTGATTGCTTGGTTAGTTGGCAGTGGTAGGGTGGGAGGAGACCATTCTGTAAAGTGTGATTTGACCAGGGAGTCCCCTGAGATTACTTCCCATTAGGTGTGCACTGATCATGATAATGATGATAATCCTTATCTAATAGCTAGAGAGACAGCCAGTGTGGCCTAGTGGATGGATAGCCAGCTTTGGCAATCCAGAGAAGGAAGATGATGCCTAAGGTCATACAACTATTATGTTATTAGGACTTCAACAGGGTCTTCTGAGTACTTTGTACCCCCTTTCCATTATACGTATCTCTCCCTCCTCCCTTTTTTCCCTTTCTCTCCATATTTTTTTTTACTTTTTCATTCTTCCTCTCCCTTTTTTCTTTCTCTTCTACCTATGCCTTAGACACTCATAAGCTTGATTGAATCCTTTAGTGACACCCAAGTGGCTAGCTCCTCCTGGCTTACATTATGGGAGGAACAGCCATCTCCGGAGACACTCTTTTTTTCTGAACTATGAATTCTCCAGCTATTCCCTCCAAATCCCAAGGTAACTTGAAGGCTTCTTACCCTTCCTAGGCAATTTAATTTTTATTTTTTTTAAGACAGTCTCCCAACCTCTCCCAGGCTGGAAGTAAAGAGCTACTTATGGGCCTGGTTCCACTCTGATCAGCGCAAGATGCTTGCTGACCCATCTCTAACTTGGGCCATAACTTAGGCAACCTAGTGGTCTCCCACTCCTAGGATCCTTCCATATTGGTGCCCAAAACACACTTCAGCTCAGAACTACAGAGCTTTTGTCATCCTCAGGCTCCCTAGTAGCTGGAATTACAGGCATATGTCACCGTCCCCTTTCCCAAGTAATTGTAAAGGAGCCATCACTCTGCCAGAAAAGATCATTTTAGGGGAAAGAGTTGTACAGTTATTAGACAGAGTTTTCTTCTATCTGTAGTTAGATATTTCTGAGATGATGGCAGCAAATGGAAAGATGTTTTCCATCATCTTTTGAGAAAGATGGGAATGCTCAACTATTGATTACATAAAATTTTAACCAAAAAGGTTTACACTTCTTTTCTTGGATTTGTCTTTCTTACATATTTCCTTCCAAAGAGTAGTAAGGAAGTTTTTTTTTTCCTCTTGGATTTTGACTAAGATAACATAGCATACTAGATACTTTAGTCTCATCAGTTGCTAACAAGTGCTTGCAAATCTTAAAACACCATATGAATGTGAGTTACTATTACTATTAATCAGATTATCGTTAATTCAGGTCAGTGTTATCCAACAACTTTTCATTCAGAAGCTATTCTGGGCAAGGAACTTTGCTAGCCACTGAGGATTCCAGGATAAAAAACAACACAAACTCTGCTCTTAAGGGGGTGGGGTGGAGGAGAGAGAGAGAGAGAGAGAGAGAGAGAGAGAGAGAGCACTTGTTAAGTGCTTATTATGTGTTAGGCACTGTGCCTATACAGTGCCTACACAGTGTATACAAATACGCAAGATAGTCTCTGCCCTCCAGGAGCTTATATTCTAAAGAAGGAAGATAACACATAAAGGTGAACTGGAAAAGGGGAGGTGAGATGGTGGAAGAGGAGGGTCCCTGTGCCAGGACATGGTGAGAAAATGGTTGGGAGGAGTCATAGAGGCCTGGGCCCTGGCTAGATAAGACAAAAGTCTTCACCCAAGGGTGAACCCTAGTCTCTGGCAAGACGAGATGGTTGTGGCATAGGGCCATGGTGAGGAAATCCCAAGCTGGAAGTGTTGTGGAGAATCCAACCCTGCCCCCACCCACCCCAACCCCACCCATGCCACCATCCCTCAACAACACAAGGCAAAAACTCTCCTACCAAAGCATCTACTAGGATGGGGCAGAGACCTCCCCAAACTACAACTGCGGGTATCAGAAGGATTCATGGAAGAAGTAATATTGATCTAGTCCAGGGGTGGGAAACCTACAGCCTTGAGGCCACATGTGGCCCTCTAGGTCCTCAAGTATGGCCCTTTGACTGAATCCAAACTTCACAGAACAAATCTGTAAAACTTGGATGCAGTCAAAAGGCAGCACCCAGGACAGCTAGGTGGCACAGTGGATAGAGCACTGGTCCTGGAGTCAGGAGGACCTGAGTTCAAATGTGGTCTCAGACCAGACACTTGACACTTACTAGCTGTGTGATCCTGGGCAAGTCACTTAACCCCAGTTGCCTCGCTGAAAAAAAAAAAAAGGTAGCACCCAAAGACCTAGAAGGCCACATGTGACCTCGAGGCCACAGGTTCCACACTCCTGATCTAGTCCTTGAAGGAAGAGGAGGATTTCAGTAGCCAAAAGCCATGTAGTACATTCTGAGTATGAGGTTGGACTGTGTGATTGTGTGCAAGTGGGAAATAGAAAGAAAAAAAAAGATTGGAGATGAACAAGTAGTCTGATTTGGCCACAAGGTTGTGAAGGAGTATTCTGAAATAAGGCTGAAAATATAAGTTGTGGAGGATCTTAAATGCCAGACTAAAGAATTTGCATTTTACACCACACGCATCTCTTTAAGACTATAAACTTCAAAGATGATGATATACATTTGTATGAAATCTCATATTTGCTTAAAAAAAAATCTTAAACTTACAGGCAACAGAGAGCCCCTGACATGGGATCATTTCCACACTGGAACTTTGGGGGACATTGCTTCATTTTGGGATGCTGAACCCTTGTTAGAAGCACCTCTTCCCCCTATTATATTTTATGTGTTCCATAACAATTTGGGGCACCCAATTAGTACAAAATTTCTACATAGAACCCTGGGAAGTACTGACAGCCCATCAGGAAATCTCCCTTTGCATGGTGGCTAGTTCATTCTTTGAATCATAGGAAAACAGTATAGTAAGGGCAATATTGAGTATTAGATTCTATTTCAATAGAATTCCAGCTCATTATGAAATAATACTTATTAAGCAATCATCTATATGTGGAGCTACATTTAACACATTGCAAAATACAAATTAAACTTATAGGAACTGCCACTTTATAACATTTCTCATTTCACTATTCCATGTATATACTTTCCTTCTTGATGCCTTTACTCAATCATTTGTTACTTTTTGCAAATGATGCTGAAAAGATGAATGCCACAGTGAATGGGCAGTCATTTTATGATGGTTTACTTTAGGCTACAATTTCTAGTATTACATTGCATTTAAAAGTAGGGGCCACTTACTCTCCAAGTGTTCACAATTTTCAGTGGACAAATGTGATGTTGATAACACATGTAAGAAAAAAAGAAACAATGGAATTAAAGAGGGAGGGAAAAAAAGGAGGAAGAAGAGAAAAAAGGAAGGAAGAAAGGGGGGAAAGAATGAAAGTTGAAAGGAAGGAAAGATGGGAAGGAAAAGGAAAGAAAAGATGGGAAGATGTAATCACATGAAGAACAAGCGTTAGGTTTCTGCATAGTGAGTTTTATATATCAAACCAACAGGCAGCTGGTGGGGCAGCACTGGGTCTGGAGTTAGTTCTAGAGTTTAAATCTAGCCTCAACTACTAGCTGTTTAATCCTGGGCAAGTCACTTCACCTATCTGCCTCAGTTTTCTCAACTATAAAATGGGGGTAATAATAGCACCTACCTCCCAGGGCTGTTGTGAGAATCAAATGGGATATTTGTGAAAAGTGCTTAGTACATTGTCTGGCACATAGTAGGTACTATATAGAAATGCTTATTGCAGGACAACAGTGGGCAAGGAGGAGGTCTTCAAGGATGAGGTGATATTGTTCCTTTGTTCCTTTTCACCAACCCATTTTTCCTTTATTTCTACAGGTGAACCGCCATCTTGATACATTCCCATCTGAGAAAGCTCGCCAGAGTGCATACAAATCCCACTATGAGGAGTTTTCAGTACGCCAAGGAACCCTGCGTATGGGCAACTATACCCATCCCTAGACACTTGACTTTTATAAAAACCCTTTTAGTGTGATAGGAAATTCCCTGGATAGATTTTAGAGTATGGTGGGCCTGCCTTTTCTGCCCTTATTGAGACAAAACCCCCATGTCATTTGATGGGGATTCTGCCTCTGTAAGGACCTCAGAATCAGCCCTCAAGCCAATGATATTTGATGACTTCCTATTTTTTTTTAGGTCAAAGTGCACTAGTACCTCCTTCCCACTTCCTCACTAGAGAATCATCTTCCCTTAGTATCCTAAATCAATAGTCTAGCCCATTCACTCTTCCCATACCCTCTTCTGATGTGAAGAACCTGAGTTTCAAGGCATTTGTCCAAGGAACCATGCCAAGGTCAGATCACACAGCCTTGTAACACTCAAGGCTATGAACAACAGACACTGGCTTTCCTACTGAGTATAACATCAACATAGTCTGAGATCCCCTGCTTTCTCTCCTGAACCTTAGTTCTCCTCTTTGGGTTTATGACCATATGCATGTGAGTGCCAGTTCTCTTGGTTCCAGTCTACCATGGATCCTTCTAGGAAGTCATTGGAACCTTTAAGATCTGGACTGTTCCGTTCTCCAATGATGCATTATCTCGAGATCTATGAAGTCATTTCCATTATCCTTCATCTATGGGAAGGTTGCTAGGGTTAGCATTATTTAGATCCCTTCCTAAAGAGAGAGAGACTTCCAAGGAAGAGAGAGGACCACAGGAATGTGTTCTCAATACATAATTGTTCTGGCTGATTTCCTCAGCCATTCTTCACATTGTGAAAGTACCCCTTCCGTCTATTCTCTAGTACCTTTTGTCAGAGCTTATATATAGAGATTCCACAGTTCTGTATTTTAATTAAATACCTTGATTTGCCATTCCTCTCTCATGTCCATATTTGAATAACTTAACAGTATATCTACAGTACTAATGATGGAACCAAATGGGATTCAGGGGTTAATGGAAGTTTCATGAGGCGTTTTCTCTCAGTGAACTGGATAGATTCCAAATATCTAGATCAAAATGGTTGGGCCCCTAATGTTCTATCTCCCTTCCCCTCCCTCCTACCGTGATTAAAATGTCAAAAGATACTAGTTAAGAACCACACACTAGAATCTAAGCTCCAATGCCCTTCCTATCTAAACTTTGTATTTCTACCCTCCCTTTTTCCCTACCCATTGTTCTACACAGCAGGTAGTTAAAGGCTATAAAGCACTTTGCTTTCCATCTATTATCTCATTTGATCCTCACAACAAACCCTGTGAAGTCTGTAGTGTAATTATAGTTGTCTTCATTTTACAGGTAAGGAAAGTGAGTCTCAGAGAAATGAAGGGATTTGCCAATGATTAATAAGTAGGGAAGATATGTCTGGACCTTATGGCTTCTGCCACCAAGTCCAGTTCTCTGTCCATTGTACCATATGGCTTCTAATGCTTGCTAGATTAGCTTCCCACAGACTACCAGGTATTGCCCTATTTAGGTGCTCTTTAAGGTTCCTTCTCATTCCTACTCTATGAGTCTATTGGTCTATGACTACTCTAGGTGGGATATTCAGGCTGGTTCTCCTAACCCTGAAAGAACATGTCTGTAGCTACTAAACTGAAGAGCTAAGTCCAAGACCTTTTAGAAGCTCATTCCACAATGATAATGTCACACCTCCTTCTGTAATCATATTCTTCAAAAACACTAAAGTGACCCCCAAAAGTCAGATGATCCTTGCTCAGGAAACATCTACAGTCTTGGCTCACCCCCTTTGAAGTTACTACCTCTTGACATCTTACCTGCTCCATGATGGCAAACTCTGGCCCTAGGTATGGGTCCATCAGTCACAGAAGCTCCATTATTTCTCTATGGTACAAGCTTTGGGAGTCAGGGCCACTGTACCACATGCTATGTAGGGCAACTAAGATGGTACTAAAATGGAATTTGCCATCTTCTGGATGACACTTTCCCTGGAAGGAAGGGAGTTTTAGAAGCATTCTTCAGTATCTCTAGGTAGTGCAATGCATCTAGAGAGGAAGAGAGACACTAAAATCAAACTGAAGACAATGTAATAGACCACCAAGCAATAGAATGGCTGGAAAGATAACCAGTTGTCACATACCTGGTTACTGCATTAACAGACTAAGAACAGCAATCAGAAAGTACCACTTGGAATCTTAGGAATGGCTTACATAATTTTATTTTATTTAGATATGCTAAAGAAATGAAAGGTCTTGTGCCCAAACAGGTGTGACAAAAAAAGAACTTAAAAGACTAAATAATAATATATGATGTTTATTTGAAATCTACAAGCCATGGTGGACAAACAAATTAGAAGATGGAGGAAAGGGCAAAGGAGTACTTTGGGGGCCAAGAAATTTACCACTCCCCCCAAATAAAGAGTGATGGAAATTGTCATCCAGCAAAGAGAGGTAGATGCTGGGAGGAAAAATATGTGAGGCTGGTTCTTCCTCTCTCAGGACAAAGAAAAGCCTGGGCTAAGGGCAATAAATTATCAAATCATTTATTGCCCAAGCAACAGAAGAGTAAAATGCCGGCAAGAAAGGGAAGCTGCATCACTCAGTGTGCTGTTAACGCCATTCTTGAACGCTCTTCTCAAAGTCCAAAATCCTTCTTTATGTCCCAACGCAGCTCCCCAAAGTCCTAAGTAGCCCCACATCTGCCTCTCCTTGTCCTACAGTGCCACCCACTGGTCACTCTGAGATTAGGTGTAGTTTCTACCCAGCCAGCCCCTTCCCCTGGCCCCACCAAACATTTATTATTGATGAGGTTTCACAGCTTGCAGGCAGATTTAACTGGGTATTCTTAAGTTTTCTTTCTTCCTGTCAAGAACCCCTTTTGTCTTTCACTCTATTTCCAGATGGGCCTGAGAACAAGCTATGGAATCTGACTTTACCCTTTAGCAGAACAATTCTTCCTTCTCATCTATTCTAATAATTTCCAACTGGTTTGCCTATCTCCAGTCTTTCCCAGCTCTGACTCATCTTCATGCCACTGTCAAAATAATCTCCCTAATACACAAGTTGTATTAAGTTACTCCCCTACCAAAAAATCTCTATTGTCTATAGGATAAAATACACACTCAGCCTGACATTTTAAACCTGTCTAGAGCCAATGTACCTATCCAATCTTGCTTCTGTCTCACACAATCTATATTCCTTCTAAACTGAACCCTGGATATAACCTGATCTTATCCTGTTTTTTTTCTCAAAGTATTCATATAGGTCATTCTTTGACCTTCTCTGCCCCACAACTCCCTCATCTTTGTCCACTGAAATTTCTTCTTTTTAAGGCAAAGATAATGTATCACCTCCTTCATGAAGTCTTCTCTGACCTCTTCACAAATAAGTGGTTTTTTTCCCTCCTAAAATTTTCCTGGAGCATTTTTTCTGGATCAAATGAGATATTTGTAGAGCACTTAACACAATGCCTACTACATGGTAGGTACTATATAAATGCTTATTCCTTTTTCCTTCTTTCTTTTCTCTACTCCCACCATACTCTACCATTTCTTATACTTATTGGTATATGTTATATCCCCTTTAGTAGAGTGTGCTTTTTTTTGTGTGTGAGGCAATTGGGGTTAAGTGACTTGCCCAGAGTCACACAGCTAGTGAGTGTTACGTGTCTGAGGCTGAATTTGAACTCAGGTCTCCTGACTCTAGAGCAGGTGCTCTATCCACTGCTCCACCTAGCTGCCCCTAGTGTGCTATTCTTGAGAGCAGGGGCTATACTATTTTGCACAGCTGTGTCCTAACCTAGAACAAGGCCTTGCACTTAATAGATGCTTAATGGATTAAATTGAATAAACTTATTTCATGCTATAGTTTGAAATGGGACCCTTGACCCAACTTCTCATCACTTCCTAAATAAACATAAAAACAAAGTGATCTTTAAGGGAACAGAGAAATCATAGGCATTCAGATTTTTGTATTTTTTCCCAGCTGGTGGTTATATGGGGAAATTTGAGCATTTTGTTAGATAGTTTGGCACCAATCTATCAAATATTCAACCTGGTAGCGAAAATTATCTATAATAATAGCAGTAAACCTTTAAGGTACCCACTTTCTTCTAGCTCCTTCCAACTTTCGATTAATAATCCTGGACTTTTAAAGCCTTCTCTGGGATGAGTCAGCAACAAATAACATTAAAAAGGTTTCTATGATAATTTGCATCTAGGGTCTGGGTAGTAAATGATAGATATGGATTACATTTTTAGGCCACCCAATGACAGCCCCTAGAACCTCAGAACTATATAATATTAGAGCTGGGACAGATCTTAGAACACAGAATGTCAGAGCTAGAATGGACCTTATGGGTCATCTAGCCCAATCCCTTCATTTACATAATGTAGTGTTGAAAAAAGTCCTACATAATGAGAACCCAACTGGATCAAATGTGAAATAAAAACCTTTCATGCCATTAATATAAAGAATGATAGAATGGCTATTTCAAAGGAGGTGACTGAAACTTCTCTACAAAGCCAGAAAGTGGTAGATCCAGATAAGATCCATAATTATTAGTTGGAACCCTTCACATCAGTGCATGAATAACTAGTAAAGTACTTTACTGGCTTCCTCTCTGATACAAACCTGATCTCAGCTTTCTTAATAGATGATGTCACATATTTATCACCAAAGGTTTAGAACACCAGTGACCACAGCAATGGCTGTTTATATCCTTTATACAAAGCATTTACAACTTTCATTGCTCAAATAAATGAGACAAGAAAACAATATATTGATTAAGGATCAGCCAGAAAGTCCCAGAGATATAAAGAACAATTCATTATTGATTTGATGATGATTTTGAAAACCACAAATGTACTGTAACATTTATCACCTTTATTGATTGTACCAAGGTCTTTGACTCAATTCCACACTCATGGATTAGACACATACTGCAAAATAGTTCAAATGGATCCAAGTTAGTGTATTTCATGTCAATATGCAAAACAGTTCTCTATTTAAAACACTTCACCAACACAATACTGTCAAGAACAATTGATATAAAATGTGGTATATCCTAGGGAGACAATTTAATCCTACTATGATCCTCTCTCATCCTAAGTCCATTATTGTTACTCCTGAAGAGTACTGAGAATGGTTGTCAAGTCAAAAAGGAAGTGGTACTAAAACAGGGTATTAATCATTTGACATACTTGGATAACATCAAGTTTAATGTTGCCACTGAAAAACTCATAAAACACCTATTTCATTTTATGGAAACTTTCTCCAATGATATCCAAATGTCACTGGCACTCAATAAAATTCTTAATGTGCACCAATAGAAACTGAAGATTTTACACTTGAAGCCAGAAGTCAAATTGAGCCAATGGGGAAAAAAAAGCTATACTTAGAAATACCTTGGTCTTCTCCAGGCAAGACACTGAGTCTGAAGCTAATTAAGGAGAAAGTTGAGGCTGTGTATTAAGAGGCTCTTGGACTCCTTGAATCAAAACTTTATGAAAAGAACACATTTAGAGCAATTAACACCTTTGCAGTGACTATTTTAATGTATACTCTTTTTGCTAGGTAGAATGGATAACAATGGATCAGGGTGTTCAAACATATACTCATACAATGTTAATGAAACACAGGGCTCATCACCCCAGGAAACATATAGAAGGAGCTCTATTTCTTCATCAAAAATGAATGAAAAGGTTAATAGATATTTTTCAGGGCATAAGATAAAGAGTTTAAAAATTGCAGACTTATTACGGTAACAAATAGATCTCACTTCATAATGCAGTAGTAAAACCTGACAACTGTTGGCAGGCTTGGTTACAGGAAATTTCCACAACGGTTCCTTCCGCCAATGAAATCATAGGTCTAGACCCCAAAATAGACAAAAGTGTGGATCCCTGGTGCTAGCA